ACGTAGATTGGACCTTATTAGATCCAAGCAGAGTTCTGCAAGTTCTTTTAAATCTTATGACTAACGCCATTAAATTTACCCGAACTGAAGAAGTCCGTCGGATCACCGTCACTATGGCCGCCTCTCTCGAAAGGCCATCTTCCCAAGAATCGATTGTCGAATATGTACCTAAGCATCAAAGCAGCTCTGATCAAACTGTAAAAGGTGAATGGGGAGATGGGGAAGTCCTTTATATATCTATCACCGTCACCGATTCTGGTAGAGGCCTTTCGGAAAGCGAAAAGGCGAATCTTTTTAATCTCTTCATGCAAGCGTCTCCAAAAACCCACGTGCAATACGGGGGAAGTGGATTGGGACTTTTTATCTCGAGACAACTTACTGAAATGCAAGGTGGTGAAATCGGAGTTCATAGCGAACGGGGAAAAGGAAGCACATTTCAATTTTATTTGAAGACAAGGAGGACGACTCCGCCCCTTGATTTGCAAGCTTCGGAAGATAGTATGAAAAAGGATTTACAGATGGCGTTGAGGGATGACGCGCTCAGAGAGGCGTGTGGATTTGAAATATCGAGTTTGAGTCATGAGGATACGGTACATAACGTGACGGATAGGATGGCGGTGAAGAAAAATGATGCGAAGATTCCCATAAGACCTTTGACAATGAGGAGGATAAGCTCTCGGCTGTCTCCTTTGACTATTAAAAGAAGCACGAAAGGAAATCAAGATGATGGTGGAGAAGGAGAGGAGCTACCGTTAGAGGTGTTGGTTGTGGAAGATAATTTATTGAATCAAAAAGTGCTGGTGAAAAGTTTGAGGAAGGAAGGATATGGGGTCAATGTTGCAAATCATGGTGGAGAAGCATTGGAATTTCTCAAAGAGACGACATTCTGGGTTGGGGATGGTGGCGAGGAAGAGAACTCCGTATGTACTTTCCTTTTTCTTAACTCCCCCCCCCCCCCCCCCCCCCCCCCCTCTTTTTAACGACTTTTCGGCACTAGCGGATAAGTATGCAGAGTGCCAGTGGGAAATGATTTGGCAGTAGGAACAAGAGTGTATATCACTAACACGTACTATTTAGAAACAACCACTCAACCTCATACTCATGGATTTGGAAATGCCCATTATGGATGGTATCACTTGTGTAAGACAGATCCGGAAGTGGGAGGCTCAGGGGATGATAAAAGGACATGTCCCGATCATTGCTGTAACGGCCAATGCCAGGAAAGGTAGGCCTTTACTCTTCTATCTATATACTTCATTCGTTATATGCACTATGTGTTTCCAATCCCGCTATAAAATCAGATGGGTTGAGTTAGATACAAATGGGGTTGTAAACGGACAGGACTGGAACTTAACGCTAATCAATCATGTGATTCTGGAATAGATCAAATAATGAGCACGATCGAAGCGGGCATGGACGATGTAACGACGAAACCATATCGGATCCACGATATGCTCAAACAGATCGAGACATTGGTCACTAGGTATCCGCAGACTGAGAGCGAGACGCAGAATTCGAATGCAGAAACTCGGACGGAGAATCCATCACGTACGACGAATCTCTCAAATCCACATACACACTGTGCGAAATGTACGAATGGGAATTCTTCGGAGAAGAACGTTTCTAAAAAGAGCACAACAGTCTCGTCGAGGAGTCCTTCGAAGAAAAATCGCACAAATGGCAGTTCTTCAGATGTCACATGCAATGGAGACTCGGATTTTCCTATTCCTTGAGCGGGGTTTGCTCATTGTGTTATTTTCAGCGACGATTTTTTATTATGTATATCTTCTTACTTCCGTTTTGTCGTTAGATAAACATACATATATTACATGTATTTTACAACCGACTCCAGACAGGCATCAAGTGAGAATTCGGAGTTTGGGATCTTTCACCAGAACGGGAATTAAAGACGCAATTGGATGGGAGTTTACCTTTCGAACACGTTACGACATCACGGACAAGGACACGGGAAAAAGAATATGTATTTTGGTGGTCATTTTGTTTTATCATTAAAGCCGCGAGCGGCGAGTTCTTGTTTGAAGTTTTCGAGGTTATGATGTTATATACCTAGGCTACCGTTCTAATTCCTTCATGCTTCGTTCATGCTTCATGTGTCGTTTCTGCGTTATGCGTTATGGATCATGCGTTAGGTCGTTAAAAGGTCAAGGAAAGGAAAGGAAAGGATAGGACAGGAAAGGAAAAGAAATATGATGAGATATCATGGGTTTTGGAACGGGTGTACATTTTGGTCGTTAAAATGGGAAATAAGATGAGATAACGAAAATATGGCAAGAGAGAAAAATAGACGGTTTCCGAGATGGTGAAAATAGACTAGAGGTTCTTCATGTCGAGAAAATAGAGTTCGAGGAGGATAGAAGCCGCGCGGGGGAAGTTGGAGGGTGTGAGTCTGCAGTAGTGGTTTCTGTGTGGAGTTAGATTTGAAGAAAGGAGATGAGGAAAATGATGTTTGTGGAGAAATCGATGATGAGGAATGGGAGGTTTCAGGTTGGCGCAATAGTTGGAAGGAAAAGAGGAAAAAGGAGGTCATCTGATTTTGACTCTTCGGGACCGACGGGTTCATGAAAATGACCATGGTGTTTTGAGGTGGTGATAAGAAAGAACAAGTAGGAAGAAGAAATCGAGTACGCAAGGCGAAAGAGCATAGAAAAATGACCTACACCAACAAATGAACAATTTTCAAAATTCCATTCAGCGGTCCACCCGTAGTCCCTGCAAATCCCTTAAAATCCCCAAAAATATCCTCGTGCCATTTCTTTTCCAACTTCTTTGCTTCTTTCTCAAGTTTGTGTTCGTGTTTCTTCTCGTTTCTCTTAGAAGCCCGATTTCCAAGGAAATGCTTCACTCCTTTCACGGTTTTGACTACTCCGGTCCCGAGTAATATGGGGATGAAGGATAATAAACCGGTTTTGATAGGATTTGCTCGTATCCAGGAGAAGAGAGAGCGGATCCAGGATGTGAAGCGCGAGGCAACGCGTCTTACAAAACCAGGACGAGGTTTAGGACGGGAGAGAGAGTAGGGGGAGAGAGGTCTTTTGAGAGGGGAGGAGATGCGACCTGGGATGGGAGAGGAACGGCGGCGGATGGGTTGAGGCTGGGGTTGGGGATAGGATTGAGAGGTTTGGGAGGGGGGGTTGTAGTAGGGGTTTGTGCCGGTTGTGGAGGGGACAGTGTTGGGGATGGGAGAGCTGGAGCGGCGGGGAGGAGGTCCGGGATGGGAAGGGTGCGAGGGATTGTAGGTTTCGGGGTAAGGGTTGGTTTGGGGGATTTGGGAGGGAGAAACGGGGTCGGATGTTGTTTGCCAGTAGGTTTCTTGGGCGGGTCGATGGGCTAGTGGAACATTGTCATAGCTGTAACTTTTTGCATTGGGGCCTTGCGTTTTGAAAGGTTCGGTGGTGGTAGGGAGGGGAGGACCGGCAAATTGAATTGGATTGGGGTGGTTATAAGATGGGTCTTGAGATGTGATGCCGAAGAAATCTTGGGGGTGTTTGTCGATGGGTTTACTGGAACTAGTAGCTGGATAACCGGATGCCCATGCTTCTGTGGAGGCAGGAACGATAGTTGATGCATTTGTGAAGGAAGAATAGATGGTAGATTTATGATCGTTGTGATCGTTGTGGAAAGCATATGACGCTGGAGCTTCGTTTCGTGCCCCTCTTAAGTTATGATCATCGTGATATCCGTGTTTGGGAGAACTCGTGGAGGGAGGTGTGGGGTATCGCTCCATTTCTGCGGAGTCGGTGTCTGTATCCTTATCCTTAATTAATCAGATCAATCAATTGAAGCCCGGATTTTCGAGATATATGCAGATATGTTGTGCGTATGTATGTATATGTATGTGTGTCTCGAACAAGTATAAGATGGGCCTTAATGGAAAGATGGACCCAGACTATCAGAATATGAAGCTTGTGAGAGGTGAGGAAAAAGAGGAGGTGAGGGTGTGAGAAAGAAGTTGATGAATTCGTGGTTTAAGGTGGTTGGACGGGGCGGTGAAGAAGCTTCATTTTAAGAGGATGGCGGATGGCGATTGGTGGTAGGGATTTAGCTCCCATGGCTCGCATGGCTTTGGAGGTGGGGATGTTTGTTGATAGTGATTGGTTGGATGATGTGACATGCGAGATAAGATGGTGTACTTGAGGATTCTTATATTTTTAGTGAAAGGAAAATACAAAGACGAAGACGACGACATCAAGTGGTGAATGCGTTCTCATCGTTAATTTCAAGGTAAAGGTTGCTCTGAGGAAAGCAGATTTTTGGAATAATGACGCCTTGCCAACGCTCCATAAGCACAACATCTTTCTCTTCATATTCATCGTTTCAGAATCATTATGGCACAACATGGCATTGATGCTACTGATCCTCCCAATCGTGATATCAGACACTCAAGGCTTTGATTTTCCAGTCATTTGGTACGAGTGGGCGCTCCCTGTGAATTTCCCCATCTCAAGTCTTCATCGCTACGTCTCATGTACTTCTTGTCAGCCTGTGGATTTATAATTGTACCGACAAGCATAAAAACCTTGAAGATATGCATAATCCAAGGGCTCCGACGATTAATCAGGGCTGAAAAGTGTGTCGCCGTGTGCCACCTTAGCTTTGAGATATATATGCCTCTATTCGAGTATTCGATACCGGTGAGCCTTTATTCTTCGCTGGTTATCTAAGATTTTCAAATGGCAAGAATCTTCCATCCAGGTATTGCAAAGGCCATTGGTAGCTCTGTCTCCCTGGGTTTCGCCCCCATCGATCAACTGCCAGGCTTTCAGCTACATGCCCGGATGACACCGCTGGAATATTCTAGGAAAAAAGATTAGTTTTCTGCCTTGAGAATAACGATTCATAGCTCAAGTGTAAGGCACAGTAAATGCAATAATATAAAGTGTCTTCTGTTCGACATTGGCCAGCAAAATGTTCGTTCACCAAATTATCCGTTACACAAGCTTTGATTTGAACATTGCTTCGTCTTTCTTCGCTCCATCTCAATGTCTTTCCCGCCTCTTCCCATTTCAATCCAAAGTGTCAAGGAGAAGACTGAGAAGCCGAAAGTAGCAGTCCGGAAAGATAGACGGAAAGCCCTTCGAAAAGCTGGTATACATGTACTACCTATCATGATCACTATTACTTTGTCATTCTTGAATGGGCATGAAATATACGCGAACTCGATGGGTAATGCTGACGCAGAAGTATATACTCGGCTTAATGGACTGCAATTCATGGCCAAAGTCCATGAGATACTTATCGGGATTTCTTTGTCAACAATTATATTGTCTTTTTTACAGCATGAAGCTTTACGTCAAGGTATACCCCTTGGTGGGTTTCTCATTGCTTTCAGAATCACCGATCTTGGGTCGCTTCTCAGCCCGGAGTTGTGGGCTGCAGGTGCATTTGGAAAACACTTCAAGCGTCGCTTGTTGTTTGTTGTCATGTCACTCTTTGCTATGATTCTAGCTGCTGTCTCTGGACCTGCGTCTGCAATATTGATGTTGCCATCCCTGGACCGGTGGATTGTCCCAACGACAACATATTCGTCCTGGTCTACTACGCATTTTACCCTGAACGCAGAAAAGTCTCAAGTTTGGCCTAAATACGTCGACAATTCGAGCTTTGACACGTTCTGCACTTTCGAGTCTAGTAAATTCTCAGACAATTGCGCAGCAGGTGGCTTCTCGGCAATCCGGGCATGGCTTGACAGACCCAGTTCACGAGAATCACAGCATTCGTGGAGCATTACCATGCCAATGAACTCGAAAGAAACTTTTTACGATCGATTCATCGGCGGCACATCAAACTTTCAAGGAGTTCTAAAGACGGATGGCTTTTATAATGCATATACTTGGCATTTGAGTCAAACTGTATCCGTGCCGACAGGCTCACTTGTCACATCAGTTGCCCAGATGGTAGGATCACAAAACGAAACGTCCAGATTTCAAATATCGATCAACGGCGAAGATCCTCCAGCACCACAGGTAGTTGCAGCTTGCATAGACAGGAACTATAACATAACAAATGGATCAATCAAAGGACATAAGACGCTCGATGATCTACCACTGCTATTCTTAAAAATAGATATGTCTCAGAGTAGATATGGGAGATCAGAAGTTCGAAATGCAGTCAATATGTTGGATAGCGCTCGGGGAGGGCCCTCAGCGACATGGATGCAGCCAAAAAATAAGACTGCCAACTCACCGTCCATAGGAGTCGTGATGTTTGCTCATTACGAAGGGGGGTTAGTTGTGCTGAACAATCGCACTTCCATCACTAATAGACAGAGTTGGTTCCTCGTTCGTGTTTCCTCGTGTTCCTTGTTCGCTGGGTGGTAGGCGTCTAAACTCTACATCGACCCCACAAAAGATCGGTATATTCATTCACCTAGTACCACCAATCCAACACGGAGTTTTGATGATTGGATGCGAGATTTTACCGATACAACGAGATCCATGCGTACAGTGCAAATAGATGTCGAGTGGGCAAATGCCGCCTTGCCACCGAACGATATAATATTGCCACTGGCATCCTCGTCATTTGGCGCCAGTAACGATAATCCATTGGGCATGATAGCGACAACTTTTATTTCAGATGCAATGTCAAGGATTCCATACATGATGAACATAGGTTTCAAAGTCTTGATTCCTACAGTGGCACCGAACCATAACTTTACTACTTTATCCAATGTTCCCAAAGACGTCACAGATATCCACATCAAGCGCTTCCGTTATGGCTACAGTTACTCTCTTCAAGGCTCCACGAGACGTTTGGCAGTAGCCATTCTTGTTCTACACATGTTTTCAGCCCTAATATACGCGGTGCTCGTTTTTCGGCACGGATACACAAACAATATCCTCAAGTCACTAACTGAGATTCTCGTACTTGCAATCAACTCTCCGCCATCTTCAAATCTCGATAATACATGTGCTGGGATTGAGAGGGTTGATACATACAAAAAGATAATAAGAGTCCGAGAGGTATCTTCATCGCATTTGGGATTGATTGTTGGTGACGACGGTGATATCATCACTGAAGAGGTGATGGCGGATAAGAAGTATGGATGTCTACACAAGTAGTGAGACGCGCGATATAGAGAAGATAGATTGGATAGGATTGGAAATGGGGGAAGTTTCCTGTACAGATTGCCATGAGCAGTAATTCGTGCATGTTTTAGATCGAAGATTGGTCATATATGATAGACACCATGTGTAGAACAAAATTGGATCGTACTCGTACAAATCCAGCACGTTGCAATATTACAGAGCTCAGATACAGGGAGATTTCATCATATTTTTGATTTGCTGCAAAATCTTTATATCAGCATATACCAACTTACTAATTATTTTGATGTCACATTGAACGTATGAGTATGATTGTGATAATCTCAGAAGTACAGATCTCTCATATCATGGATCTCTAATAAGTAGAGTGTCCAAGACAAAAGCGTGTGACACAGAGTGATGCCGGAAAATATAGAATGCAAGCCAAGAGATGTAGCAATCGGGAATATCAGCTAGCGCTTGAGCACCTGCACACTTCTGTGTCAATATAGCGTTTCATCCTACATCCCTCACTGTCTTGATCTCATACGAAATCTACTTCTAACCTTGTATTACATTTGAACTTCACTTCACTTCACTTCAAGTCTATCCTGGCATCCTGACATGCTCTATTTCGGCTTCAAATAGCCATTTGCCTCTACTAGCGTTTACCCAATTTTCTCCAACTTTCCAACTGCAAACACAAAATCATATTCCTTTATTCATATTAAATATTAATACAAACCGAAGATCACCAATCTCATTTGAGCCCATCTCAAATCACTTGAACATGGCGACCTCTCCATCAAAACTGATCTGTGCTTCAATTACTCGTAAGCAATCTCGTCGCGAGAGAATCGCAGTGGCTAGTCGGTGACTAGATGGTGCTCATCGATCTAGCCTTGGTGCCATGCAGCTTGCGCATTGTTGAAGTCGTGAGCTGGTCTTGGGACGAGATCTGCGGAGAATTATCTCATGTCTCTGCTTGGTACCAGCGCATGGTTAGCTTGCCGTCATGGAAGCGTCCTGTGGGGATCCATGATAGCCTCAGTGGATGAACAGAGGCAGCAAAGCAGCGTTCCTAAGGAGATCATGACTTTTAACGACTACGAGAAAGAGAATACTGCGAGGGATGAAGCAGAGAAATAGTAGCGATACAATTGAACACTAGATTTAGAGCTTAAGAGCAGTGGAGCTTTCTCTTCTTGTACCAAATCTTATCTGAAATAACAAGCTATATTATCTCCTCGGCACAGTGCGATCTATATAAGGTATATGATACTCTATATGCAATTTAATGGAGCAGAATTCCCGTACTATTTATCCATCCCCATTTTTCTCTCCTAAATCTTTTGTGATATCTTATTGCGCTCCTTGAAAAATCTAAATTGCAGAGAGAAATAGTTATCCATACCCCTAGCTTATTTTAATCTAATGTCATCATGTACTCAATGTACACTGCCTTAGTTAATACTCTGTAGTCTACTTTTCTCACATCAGATAGCAAGGGCTCGCGTCTTACGTATATGTATGTTTTTCAACTGTTGGAAACAACTGTTGGAGAATTCGAAGCGAGCCAATAACCCTCACATTCAAAACAATCAACTACGCGTAAGATGAGCAAAGTCTATTTGGGGACAATATATAAAGCTGGCTTTTCTGCACTTCGAGAAGAGTAAAATCCAGCGATATTATCACAACGTCCGCGTTATAATTAAAGAAGATGCAACTGTTCCAGTCAATGAATATTCCCTTAGGGTTCTTAACCGGTCATGTGGCGCTCGCCCAAGTTAAGGATTTTACAATCGACCTAGAGCCACATCGAATGCTTCAACTGGTGACCCAAACACAACTACCGGCCGTCGAGGAATATCCTGGACTCGGTGGTTCGCTCGGCATTGATCTGAACGTGTTAAAATCGATGCAGAAGGAATGGACTACCACTTTCGATTGGGCTACCGAGCAGGCTGATTTGAACCGGTTATTATATCCCAGTTAATCATAATAGGTACAATCATTACAAGACAATTATCGAAGGCTTAACGATCCATTTTGTCCACCAGAAGTCTAGCGAGCCAAACGCAATACCGCTTATCCTAAACCATGGATGGCCTGGAACTTTCATGGATTTTCTTCCAGTGGTCGACCCGTTAACGACAGCATCCAGCACATCCAATAGAACCTCGGCTTCCTTCCATGTCGTGGTCCCTTCACTACCAGGTTACGCATTCTCCAGTGCACCACCTGCCACCTGGACGCTAAACGATACAGCACGCATTTTCAACACTTTCATGACTGACGTGTTGGGATATGAGACTTATGCTGCTCATGGGTCAGACTTTGGTAGTAATGTAGCATACAACTTATACAACAATTTCAACAAGTCAGTACGCGCAGTTCATCTTACCGGTATACCATTCCTTCCATTAAGCCCGGTCGACTTCCCCAAATACAACATCACTCTCGATGCGGATGAGGAGTTCCAGGAAAATCTGGTCCTGGGTTTCAACACAGGGTATGTCATCGAACAGAGTACCAAGGTAAGAATTCTATGCAGGAGTACTATCCTGATATTATTCCTTTTCAAATAAAATTAAAAATACAAACTGAATCAATAAACAGACCAACACCATCGGATTAGCGCTCCAAGATAACCCCGTCGGACAATTGTCCTGGATGGCAGAGAAATATATCTCTTGTAAGATTTTCAACCCCCCCCCCCCCATCTTCCGATTGCATCTCAAGCTGAAATGCCTAAAGGGTCAGACCCACAAGCAGGAACATCACCATCTGTCCTCACACACAATGAAATCCTTCGCCAAGTCTCTCTATACTTCTTAACCAAGTCTTTTGTATCATCTATTTTCACCTACCCGCAAAATACCGACGCGTATAGTTCAAGCTACAGCAAGGCGCAAACCGATGCACCAATGCTGTTTAGCAGCTTCAAATACAGCGGTGCATTCTGGACAGGAAAGGTAGTCTCATGAGTGGGAAACTTAGTGACTTATAATTGTGAGTCTCCCTATTTCTTTACTACAATGCAATTCTCGTGGCGCTCTTCCCTTATTCCTGCTAACGAGACCGTAGATCATAACTTCGGCGGACACTTTCCGGGATTGGATAACCCACCAGCTTTGGTTGATGATATAAGACAGATTGGAAATTATTGGACGTATTAATTAGGACATTGAATGTTAGGTAGTTTGTTGAAAGGGCAAAGTATCATTGGTTACTACCAAAAAGATACATGTGGAATAATCTCACAAATTTTGATACTACAATATTTTCTTCAATGATAATAGAAAATATTATTAACTTCTAATATTTTTAAGCAAAAGAAAAACTCGAGAATACTTTTCTTAAGTCTCTTATTCAAATCGATACGAATTTAAACATTAAACCTCTTCTTGTTACAAATAAATAAAAGGAATAAAAACATGAACAAAAATACAAAGATACACCACATATGCCGAGAGCGTCTGAACCCCTATCGAAACAATAAACTCAACCCCCTCAACCCCCTCACCACATCTCAGACCCTCAGCCCCAACCAACCCCCGAAGCAAGCCATAATCAACACAAGTGTCACGGCCCACAAAATGCGATGTGCAACAAAGACACCTCTCTGTTCCCTTCCATCCCCTTTCGATCAAGAAGTGGAGAGAAGCGGAGTTTTTGTGGAAACAGGAGGGGGGCATGGTGGCATTAGAAGGCGTGGGACGTCAGAATTGAGGGGAAGATCAAGGGCAGTGCGGGAAGGAAAAGCATTGATTTTGGTGCTATGTTGGGGATCAGTCTTCCGGTCTGGGTTCGGATCGCGATGAGTGTGGGGTTGTGGGGTAGATTGGGGTGAGATTGTGGTCTAGATGCGGCTAGGGAGCGGGCGAAGCTCTGGAGTCGCTTTTTGGGTGGAGGAAAGGTAGATTTCGTGGATTTGGGTGGGGAAAAGGAGTTGGAATAAGGATGAAAATGGTCTCATCGGAAATTTGCAGGTTTCTTGCGAAATCTCCCGCAAAGTATCTTCCCTCTCCTTGCGTAACCTTTCTCCACCCAGGCACATTGTTAACTTCCTCTCCTGGAAAGGGAGACATTTCGATGCCCCACCCAGTCAGCACTTATACCAGCTCGATATCTGATACATGATGCCAAGAATGCGGCGTCCAATTGTATGATACTCATTTCTTCCGGAATCTCTTCTTCAACCAAGATAATTCGGTCGCGACCATCGGATGAAAGACTCCGATAATCATTCCGAGTTGATGAGTCGGTTGGAACTTGGCGAGCGATGTAACTAGAGATTTTTACGGGATGATACACGTGCGGGATTCGTTCGCTCGGGGGATGGTAGGTAGGTTCTAAACTACTTTGGACAGAGGGAAGTTGTTTGTGGTATGTTTCATGTAATCCCAGGATTGCATGCCAATATTTTGAAAAAGGGGTTGTTGACTACATATTTCCTTCTCCCTTTCCACAAAGGGTCATCGCAATATCCTTGATCTAATAGTCTACGCCCTATCGGTTAACACGCACGATTAGCACGATTACCATCAGTTGATCCGTGGCCTGGTCTAACTAGCTAAGAGGAATAATCGGCAAGCCCAGTGTTCTAAATTGGCTGATTAGGTTAGGTTTATATATTATTGTACCAGAAACAGCCAAGGCCCAAAGGAAAGTTTAGCATTATTAAATTCATCACCGCATCAACTAAACTGTACTTAACTTACAATATTTCGTAGGCGGATCGGGTAACTGGTTCTCACAAATGCCCAATTCAGCCCAAAAGTCTACCTAAGCCGCTTTTTCACTCTCCAATCTTTGAAATAACAATTCTGCAGCGTGGTAAGCGAAGCCTGTTTACCATGTGACAGCAGGTATCTACCCTACCTATATGAGCATCTTTCAGTGATGAGCCCTTTCAGAGCGAGTGCCTCTAGGAAGTCATGATATTCGCCTCAAGAAACAGTATATTTTCGGGAATTCCAGTGGTGTCATAGCAGCTAAAGACAATTTTCATCCACTTGGTAATATTGTCAACAAACTCGCAAAATGGACTTCTACGATAAGATGTTGTCTCCAGCTGGCATTCAAGTAGCCTATCAGAATCCAATCATCTTACGAGCGCCGCCTGGGAAATACTTCTCTGTACCTCTCTGGTAAATGACCTACGCTCCTCACATCTGCACCTCATCACTCGTGTTTAATCTACCTCCACATCACCCACTGAAGTCTATGCAACACTCGATGCTGATCAAATTACAGCACACAGTCACCCCATTCACGTTACATGAAGATGCACAAGTATGTAATAAATGCAATGAATAGTATTCACTAGCCTAATAATCATGTCTTTTCTCGAAGTCTTCTTTAAAGAAGTTCCCCGAGTCTAAAATACACACAAATGAAGCTCCACCACAATCATTTCATTCTAGGGCGTCAAGGGTATAGCTCGCAAGTGTCTTCAGATTTAATCAAAGACCAAGCGAAATCCAGGCTGAGGTGAGCCAGGGTCGCATGAAAATCCACCCATCCATTCATTCGGTCCATAATAATCGTCCATTTCCCTCCCCCATCCACATCCATATCAGATATTGTTCGGGAAAAAGAAAAAGAAAAAGAAAGTCCCATGAAAGCCCCAGATGGTATCATATCGTAAGATCAGAACAGCCATTAGAGAACCCTTTTCAGCGACCCGAGCCAACCAATAGCTCCCCATACCGACCAAAGTATGAAGTTTTCATAACCAGATAGTGTTTTGTATGACGCTCATGCGCCTGAAAATGTAGGTAGTAGAAAACATAGGCAGAAACGCGATTTTGTTCGCTGGTATTGGCACAAAAAATAAGTTGAAAGAAAGTCAAGAAAAAGAAATTTTTGAAAATGACATGTGAACATAAAGCCGGAAGGTCCGCAGAAAAAGAATTGATGGATAGCAAGGCTGAGAACATTCCAGTATCTCGAGAGCCAATGCTATTTGCGAAAAGGCCGTAACAGTGTTCGATATTTGGTGTAGTAATAAGCATAATAAAGAACTAGAAATGTCTCAATGAAGAGATTTGGCGTAGCTGCTGGAAATTTAGGAAAATTCCTCCGCAAACTGGCCACCCCTCAAAAAAAGATGTCTGGAGTGTGTATAAAATGATTATTCGTAATACCGCGGACGCTCTTATTGAGAAAAGCCGGCCATGTGGCGAGAAGATGGTCGCTCACGATAGAGCTCCAAAATGCGATTGGCAGTGGAAACCATCTGAGAAAGTTGCTTGAGGAGGGGATCGGCAGGAGCAACGTTGGTAATGCGCATAAAGAGATGTTCGAGGCGTTGAATATAAATGTTCATGATCTTAGGAACCAGATCGGCGACTTGATCATCCTACAAATAATATTAGTATACAATAAATACCAAAGAAGTACATGAAACTTACAAGATATCCACTGACCATCTTGATCTGGAAGGAATTCAAGATGGTTTCGGTCCAGGCAAGACGCTGATTCATAAGATCATCAGTCAACTCAATGGTGATGATAGCGCCGAGGCTGAGGAGCAAAAGTGGGCTGAGCTCAGTGATGAACTTTGGAGAGAATCTGCAGAAGTATCTTGCAAAGAACTCTTGCTCTCTACCAGTTTGCAACCAACGGACAACAGCATCTTCGAATCTACCTTCTTGCATAGGGGCTTGAATGTGCTTGAACATCTCCTCATACTCAAGCTCCTGTGGCGACTTCTCCTCGACAACAGGAGGAGCTGCGAGTGCTGAGGAAACAGAAGGTCTGCTGGAGTTGTGACCTATTCCAGGGCTAGCACGGTGAGATGAACCCTGTCTATCTCTCTGTTGAACACGCAAGAATTGAGCTTGGAAGTCAGATTGTGCAGCAGCCATGGATGAAATGGTCTCAGTCAAGCCGTGGACAAGTTGAGTCAATTGTTCGATCTTAAGGCTATCGGCATGTCGTTGACGTTCAATGTTACCAATCTGTTCTTGTGCTTGGCGATGAACATCAGCTGCGACACGCTGAGAAGTGTTGACGGCCAATTGGGTAAAAGCGGGAGTGATGCTGTTGTTCAAGAGAGTAGCAAATTGCTCTTCGAAAGAGAAGGAAACACTCTTTGCCAAGGTTTCCGACATCAGCTTCAAAAGTTGAGGTTGTTGCATGACCTTGTTGACAGCATCTGGAAGGACCTTTTGCAATTCTCTTGGCAAGGTTTGATTCAAGTGACTAACAATAGCCGGAGCAACTCGTTGATCCACGGTCTTCAAGGTGATGCTTTCGATGGAAGGAACAATAGAATTTTCCAAAGCTCCATTGACAATGCGCTTCAATGATTCTTCCATATTGCCAGTAAGAGTGCTAGAGACAAGACGAAGGACAGCATCCTGCTTGGCATCGGCGACGGCAGTTTGGGTGCGTCTGTCATCTTTGATTCTTTGATCCAAAGTGTTAAAGGAATCATTGAGCAATTTTTTCACTTCTCCAGAAACGCGACCTTCAATCTCCTTGAGAACTTCATCCGTCAAACCAGGTGCTGACAAGCTTGAAGAGCTGCCAACATCTGGAATAGTATTCATATTTGCGCGAGAAGTACTGTTGTTTCTAGAAGCTAAATTATTCTCTGTTGCGATGTTTTTGGTTTGAGAGGAATTTGACAAAGATTCGGAATTTGAGTTGGCCTTTCGTCGCTTCTTCTTTTCGGCTTTATTTTCATTTCCGCTAGCGCCGGCTATACTGCCATTGGCAAGTGCGACCGGAGCTTCCTTTTTCTCAGCCTTCTCTTCAGCCTTGGGCAATGAAGAAGATGACTCAGTCTGCGCAACCTTCTTTGTTTCCTTAGGAGAGCTGTCCTTGGCAGCTGGGCGTTGAATAATCCTAGTAGGAGTAGGGACTGGCGCAGGTGAAGGCTCTGGTGCTGTTTCGCCTGACTCAGATGCGATTGGCGCGGTACCGATTTCCTTCAAGGTATCGATAGTAACAGCTCCAACTCTATCAGCCACAA